GAGAGAGAGAAGGGAGAGAGAGAGAGAGAATGGAGAGAGAGAGAATGGAGAGAGAGAGAGAATGGAGAGAGAGAGAATGGAGAGAGAGAGAGAATGGAGAGAGAGAGAATGGAGAGAGAGATGTAGCTATAGATGATAGAATCGGCCACGACTGAACCGAAGGGAAAAACAAAAACAGCCTCACCAAGAAATACGCTTCTGGTTTTCTAAAAAATGTATAAATATTTAGCTTGTGAAAAGATCGGTTTCACCAAGGCCCGGAGGTCGATGCCAAAGCCACATCACAACAACACCACAACCCTAGCAATTTTCCGACCAACATTTGCAAAACAGTGGCCTTGCTGAAAGGGCAAAGGCAACTTGGGTGCGTGCGTGCGTGTGTGAATTTGCAAAAAGAAAAGGGGGGAAAAAATCTCCCCTTTGCCGTGAGGAAGCCGGGCAGGGGGAGAAGAGACTTGCCAAATTCTGCAAAGCAGCAGGATAAATTATGCAGCATCAGCTGCCCCCGAATCCCTCTCCCCGCCTCGGTTTTTTCTCCTGGCAATCGGAAAATAGGTCACCGAGCGAATTATGCAGCTTTTGTAATCTCTGATGGGGAGGCTGGGTGTGCGGTGTCTCCGTTTAAACATGATTTGAATTAGCCTTTAAAAGAAAAAAAAAACCTACACATCCTCGTGTCCAAAATCTATTTATTTCCTCGTGCAAAACGGGGAAATCTTCTTCTGTACCGTCCCCGGATAAACGTGGATTGATTCAGTAAACATATTTAAACACAGACGGCGGGCAGGATCTTAACGGTCCATGGGAGATGATGGTCTCCGTACGTGCAAAAGTGCTTTCCCCTAAAATAAACTGGACTTTTTTTTCCCCCCTCGAAAATGTTTTACTTCTCCTCCGAGAAGCTTCTTCAGCTCTGGGGTAGGGAAGGATTGATACTCCTTGCAGACAGCCGGTCATTTGCATCCTTTTTAGAAGGTCCTTGAGGCCTCTTGGAGGTTTGTTTGCGTCCTCGGGGGTCACCTGAGTGGTGACAATGGGTGTGGGGGGTCCTTTTTGGAAGTGCCGTGGGACTGCGCCACGCTTATTTGCACGGCTCACGTGACTCGAAGGACATAGAGAAGTCTCCAAGTGGCCTCAACGATCCTCTAAAAGGATGCAAACGACCAGCTCTGTCTGCAAGGAGTATCAATCCTTCCATTCCTCACCATTCGGTCAGAGCTGAAGAAGCTTCTCGGATGAGAAGTGAAATGCCTTCAAAGAAAAACCAAAAAGTCCCATTTGCTTCAGGGGGGAGGGAAGAATAACTTTGGGACAACCATGACATGGATGACGGAGAATCTGCATGACAGAGAATAACAACGTTTGCACGCTCAACCAACCCATCTGTTCCTGGAAGACACCACGACCTCAGGAATCACCTAAGACTGTGCACGGGGTGGGGAGAGTGGGCGGGTTGTGCGCGAATGAGCAAAGGCGGGGTGGGGGGGCATTGCATTATGGGTGTGGGCACGCACATGTGCAGTGACACATCTGTGCGCACGATTTCGGCACACGGGGAGAAAAAAGTTAGCCACCCCTGACCTAAGAGAAGGAGAAAAGCTAGGACTTTCTAATGCAGGCCACGATCCAAATATGAGCCCCCCCCCCAACTCCGCGATACCTTCTCGTAGTACTGGAGCTCGTAATCCAGGATGACTCCGTTGGGCTGGTCCGGTTGAGACCACGAGAGGGTGATGCTATCCACCATCCGGCTGACTTGATGCATGATGGAGATTGCCGAAGGAGCTACGGAAGGGAGAGAGGGAGACACACAAACAGAGGGAGGAGAAATTAATTTCAGCCCCATCTTTGGGGTGGAAGCTGCTGAGATACAGGGAGTCTTAGAAGAAGAAGAAAAATCTGATTTCCACTCAGAATCACAGCGTTGGAAGGGGCCTTGGAGCTCTTCTAGACCAACCCCCTGCTCAAGCAGGAGACCCTAGACCATTTCAATCAATCAATCAATCAGAATAGTGTAGGAGACCTTGGAGGTCTTCTAGTCCAACCCCCTGCTCTAACAGGAGACCCTTGGCCATTTCAATCAATCAATCAATCAGAATAGTGTAGGAGACCTTGGAGGTCTTCTAGTCCAACCCCCTGCTCTAACAGGAGACCCTTGGCCATTTCAATCAATCAATCAATCAGAATAGTGTAGGAGACCTTGGAGGTCTTCTAGTCCAACCCCCTGCTCTAACAGGAGACCCTTGGCCATTTCAATCAAT